GGAGTCCCACCAGGGCCTCTTGTGCAGATTCAGCAAGTCTTGAAGCATTGCTTGGCAGGTGTCATGACTGTGACCCCAGAAACTCCCCTCTGTGCTCTCCTCTGTCAAGAGCTCAGCTCCAGGGGAGGCGAGGGCCTCTGGCTTGGCCCCATGGAGTCAGCATCCTTTCTGTCTTCCAGCCCTCTGGTGGGCAGATGGGTCCCGTCACCCTTGGCTGAGCATTTCCAAGACTCCTAAAGGCCCCCTTGGCCTTGGTTCCCCTGGGCTTCCTCACTGGCTGCTCTGGTGTTGTGTGAAGAGCTCCCTAGTGAGAGCCATCCCTAGCTGACCCGGCCTCCTCAGGAAGGCCCTCACTTCTCTGGGCCTCAGTTTTTTCATCTGAAAAATGGGTGAGATCAGCCAGATGGCTTCTTCTTGGGTTAGAAATCCTCTGATTCCACATTTAATTAAATGGATAAAATATTTGTGCCATATTATTTGTTATAGAAAAAAACCCATTAGATTATGTTTGACTTTTGCAATTTTTTTTTTTGAGTCGGAGTCTCCCTCTGTCACCCAGGCTGGAATGCAGTGGCACATCCTCGGCCACTGTAACCTCGACCTGCTGGGCTCAGGTGATCCTTCTGCCTCAGCCTTCCAAGCGGCTGAAACTATAGGCATGCGCCACCATGCCCGGCTAATTTTTTGATTTATTGTAGAGATGAGGTCTCACCAAGTTGCCCAGGCTGGTCTTAAACCCCTGGACTCAGGCAGTCCTCTCACCTCGGCCTCCCAAAGTGCTAGGATTATAGGCGAGAGCCACCGTGCCCGGCTGACCTTTGTGATTTTTGTTTTAAAAAGCACTTGTAGCAGCGAAAGAAATAACACAGTGAACAGAAAGCCCATGGAATGGGAGAAAAAATATTTGCAAATACGCCTCAGACAAAGGGTTAATATCCAGAATCCACAAGGAACTCAAACAATTCAATGTGAAAAAAAAACAACCCCATGAAAAAGTGGGCAAAGGACATGAACAGGCACTTCTCAAAAGAGGACACACAAGTGGCCAACAAAAATATGAAAAAATGCACTGCATCACTAATCGTCAGAGAAATGCAAATTAAAACCACAGTGAGATATCACCGCACACCAGTCAGAATGGCCATGATTAGAAAGTCAAAGAACAACAGATGTTGGCATGGTTGCAGAGAAAAGGGAACTGTAAAGTACTTCAACCTCTATTGAAAACAGTCTGGAGTCTTCTCAAAGAACTAAAAATTGAATCCCCATTCAACCCAGCAATTCCACTACCCGGGGCCTACCAAAAAGAAAAGAAATCATTATATAAATAGACACTCATATGTTCAATGCAACACTGTTTGCAACAGCAAAGTCGTGGAACCAACCTACGTACCCATCAACCATTGATTAGATGAAGAAATTGTGGTACATATACACCATGGAATACTACGCAGACATAAAAAAGAATGCAGTCATGTCCTTTGCGGCAACGTGGATGGAGCTGGAGATCGCCATCCTAAGAGAACTGACTCAGAAACAAAAAACCAGACACTGCGTGTTCTCACTCACATGCAGGAGCTAATGGTCCCAAAGATGGGAACAACAGACACTGGGGACACCCATAGTGGGGAAAGCAGAGGGGGGGTTAGGGTTCAGAAATTACCTGTTGGGCAGTATTCACTACCTGGGGAATGGGCCACCTGAGACCCAATCTCCACCACTAGGTAACATGTCCATGTAACAAACATGCATGTGTCCCCTTGAAGCTAGAATAAAAATGGGGAAAAAGAAATAAATGTAGCAGAATGAGGGCACTTGTTCTCCTATCTCCCCTCTGCTGCCAGAAAGAGGGCCTTTTATTTAATTAATTAATTTATTTATTTTTTGAGTTGGAGTCTCCCTCCATCGCCCAGGCTGGAGTGCAGTGGCATGCTCACCGCCACCGGAGCCTCAACCAGCTGGGCTCAGGTGACCCTTCTGCCTCAGCCTTCCAAGTAGCTGGAATTACAGGTGCATGCCACCACGCCTTGCTAATTTTTTGATTTATTGTAGAGACGAGGTCTCACCATATTGCCCAGGCTGGTCTTGAACCCCTGGGCTCGGGCAATCCTCTCGCCTTAGCCTTCCAAAGTGCTGGGATGACAGGTGTGAGCCACCTTGTCCAACTAATTTATTATTATTATTGTAGAGATGAGGTCGTGCCAAGTTGCTCAGGCTGGTATCAAACCCCTGGGTTCAGGCAATCCTCTTGCCTCGGCTTCCCAGTGCTGGGATGACAGGCGTGAGCCCACACCTGACTGAGAGGGCTTTTTAGCACAATAGTCACTAGTTCTCTTTGTCAGACTCTGTTCCAAGGAGGAGGGCATGGCCTTCATCCTCCTGGAATGAAGCCAGGGTGCCCCCCGGAGACAGTACCCCATGGACAAATGTTCTCAGCAGCGTCAACCGTAAAGGGATTCCTGAGGGCAGTAGGGACCCTGAGGGAGGGGACAAGGGTGGAGAGGGAATGGAGACCGTTTAAGGTACACCCAGTGGGAAAGTCCATCCAACCCCACGAGTGTTGTGAGGAATAAAAGAAATATAAGGTAGAGACTCCCCCCACAAGGAGGTCACCACCCGCTGGCATCAAATGCCAGGCTGGTGAAGGGCAGTGAGGAGGAGGAGACACATCGGCCGCCTTGACGTGACCACACGGATTGAGGCAGCGGCCTGGATCTTGTCTCTGGCCAGCTGCTGTTGGAGGGATGCCACCTTGCCTCTCTGGGACTCCATTTCCTCACGTGGAGACGGGTGTTATACTCAATTTAAAGTACCTTCAGGCTGGGTAGGGTGGCTCACAACTGTAATTCCAGCACTTTGGGAGGCCGAGGCAGGAGGATCACTTGAGGCCAGGGGTTCAAGACCAGCCTGGGCAACACAGAGAGACCTCACCTCTACAATAAATAAATAAAATTAACTGGGCGTGGTGGCACGTAGTCCCAGCTGCTCAAGAGGCTGAGATGGGATGGATCACTGGAACCCAGGAGTTCAAGGCTGGGGTGAGTCCTGATTGTGCTACTGCACTCCAGTCTGGGCAACACAGTGAGATCCCAACTTAAAAATTTAAAAAGTACCTTCAGCCTCTGAGATTCCAGAGTGGATGGTTTGTTGAAAGAAGCCTGATCGTGGGCACCAGAAATGGTGCCATTTGCATCAGAAAAAAATAATGTCCTCACAATCAACACAAGGGAGCTGGCAATGACAGTGCCCTTTGCTGATGGCTTAAGTGTCTGTTCCATTCCGAGGGATCGGGTGACTCATCGGGGCTGTAACCTGATGAAACAGAGCTATCCAATTTCCTGGCTCTGATTCCAGGCGGCCAAATTATCTTAATTTGGTTTTCCAAAGCAGTTTCCCCAGGCAAGAGGAGGGACAGGCGTGAGTTCCCCAGACTACGTGGCAATTGGAAATTGGCAATTCTTGTGTGGGAGCAAAATTAGAATGCATATGAGAAAGGTCTGTACAATTTTGTATCAAGTAGCATTCAAAGCTACTTGGAAGGCTGAGGCGGAAGGATCGCCGGAGCCCAGCAGGTCAAGGTTGCAGGTCGAGGTTGCGGTGGCCCGGAGCACCCACCGCACTACAGTCTGGGTGACAGAGTGAGACTCCAACTCAAACAACAACAGCAACAACAAAAAAACAAAGGCAGAGTGTATCACCCTTGGTCATTCTCATCCTCAACTATGAATTATTCTCAAGTCGATCGGATTAGTCTTTGGATCTTTAAAGAACCTTTTTTTTTTTGAGCTGATAAACCTGGGGCCACTTAGTAAAGGTAGGAATTCAGATCTGCAAAGCTGATAGAGGTGAAAATTACTGATATTTATCAATTGTTTTCACATATGGTATCCCAGTAGCTCTGGGAAAACGGGAATGTTATTTTTCCCCAGTTTGCAGTTCAGGAAATCTCAGGGGGGTTAGGTGAGGTGTGCAGAATGACAGAACTGGCGAGGATTTGGGCTGGCAGTCACAGCCAGGCATGCAACTCCAAATCCAGCTCACGTTGTTGCTGCGTCTTAAGGGACTGACTGTTCTTCTTCCAGCTAATACACCCCTTCACACATGTGCTCACACACATTTGCATGCAAGGTCTGTGCCCACTGGGACAGCTGGAGGAGTGGCCAGGGGCGGAGAAGAAACCCAAATGCCAATGTGTTCTGGAGGACATGAAACACCTTCTCTTTTGCGCAGAGGCTGGGTGCAATGGCTCAACGCCTGCAGTACCAGCACTTTGGGAGGCCAACACAGGAGGATCACTTAAGCCCAGGAGATCGAGACTAGCCTGGGCAACAGAGCGAGACCTCATCTCTACAAAAAATCAAATTAATGGGGTGTAGTGGTGCCTGCCTATAGTTCTGGATGCTTGGGAGGCTGAAGCAGGAAGATCGCTGAGCCCAGGCTGTGGTGAGCTGAGACTGTGCCACTACATTCCAGCCTGTGTGACAGAGCGAGACTCCGGCTCAAAAAAGAAAAAGTAAAAGGGGGTACAGAGCCTTTCTGGATGGCTGAGCAATGGCCGACTCTGCCTAGCTTCCCTGAGTGGCTGGACTGAGGCCGAAAGCGCCCATCCTCTCAAGTGGAGTCTCTGGGGTGCCAGGCGTACCCCTGACTCCTGCCATTTTTCTCTCTTCCCTGGTCCGAATGTTCCTGCTGAGGGTGACTGGGCACTATCAACCGAGGTCCACCCCCCAGCACTGCACGGCCAGACCTAAGTCCCCTGGTTTCCTCCCAGCGTCTCAGCTACCAGAGCTGCCAGGTTCAGATTACGGGGGGGGGGACGGGGAGGCGGTTGCCAGGTCTCAGGACCTTGGTCCTCCATGCAGGGCATGCCTGAGCTCTCCCTCTGCCCCGTGGCACTGTGGCGTGTGACTCTTAGTGCCCAGACCCTTACACCCACAGCAGCAGGTGAGGTCCCTGCTGCCAGCCTCCTGGCTGGGACTTCATAGAGGCTCAGGAGTAAAATGAACTGGTCTTGTTCCTGCATTTCCTTTTGCTGGATTTACTTTGCTGCCTCCAGACTGAGAGGTGAGAGGCTGGTGGCGTGTCATCCTCTTGGGTCACTGGGGCTCTTGCTTTGGTGAGAGGTGGGGTGGGGCGGGGAGGACGGAGTGAATGGATGGTTCAACCGCGTAAAAGGGTCTGGTGCTCCCTCCTGACTCAGGCTGATCTGGGCAGGGCACACCAGACCAACAACTCGGCTGCCACCCAAGGCTTGTCTCCCGCCTGTGCTGAGCTGTCCCTCACTTTAGAACGTGGTCTGGTGTTCTCTGTCTTGAAATACACACACCCTCAGAACGTTGACCCAGACGCTCTTTCTGGGCAGTGGTAGAGACGGCAGATGGAAAATATGCGCAGAAGTTGTTTCATGACCTTTTCGAGGACTATTCCAACGCTCTTCGTCCCGTGGAAGACACAGACAAGGTCCTGAATGTCACGCTGCAGATTACACTTTCCCAGATCAAGGACATGGTGAGTAATGCACAGAGCGACTCTCTGGAATGGTTCTTAGAATGAAAATGGCCAGGCTGTCCCCAGGGAACAGCGTCACTGGGAATCCCACAGGGAATGAGCACAGCTCTATGGGCAAGGCGGTGGGAGAGGAGAATGTCAGAAGGAAGCTTCTGCCAAGTGAATCAGTGTCACTGAGGGTTACACAGTCCTGGTCACTAACTGCCACAGTCCTAGATAATCCAAAGAAAGATGACGTTACGGATTGTGTGCCTCTGTTTCTTTGAAATGGCCAAAGTAGTTAAGTCCAGGGAGACAGAAAGCTAAGTTGTAGTTGCCAGGGTCTGGGGGGCAGGGTGGGGACAGGAAATGGCCAGTGATTTCTCAGTGGTTATGAGGTTTCTCTCTCGGCGGGGATCGAAATGTTCTTGATTCGATTCAGTCAGTAGTGATGGTTGCATGACATTGTGAAGGTATTGGAGACCACTGCATTGCTCTCTTCTAAACTAGTTAAAATGGTGACTTTTATGTTATGTGAACTTAATCTCAATTTTTGAAAAAGAAAGGTGGGCTGGGCTCAGTGGCTCAGTGGCTCAGCCTGTAATCTCAGCACTTTGGGAGGCCAAGGCTAGTGGATTGCCTAAGCCCATGGGTTCGAGACTCGCCCAGGCAACTTGGCGAGACCTCATCTCTACAGTAAATCGAAAATTAGCCGGGCATGGTAGCATGCACCTGTAGTTCTGGCTACTTGGAAGGCTGAGGCAGAAGGATCGCCAGAGCCCAGCAGGTTGATGCCGGGATGGCCGTGAGCATGCCACTGCCCTCCAACCCGGGCGATAGAGTGAGACTCCAACTCAAAAAAGAAAAGAAAGGTGGTGTTTTAAGATGGCATAGCTCATTTAGTGCATATATGGATTTTTAAAATTTAATTAATTAATTTATTTATTGTAGAGATGAGTTCTCACTATGTTGCCCCGGCTGATCTCAAACATCTGGGCTCAAGCATTCCTCTTACTGTGGCCTCCCAAACTTCCAGGATTTTAGGCAGGAGCCACTGTGCCTGGCCTGTTCTTTTTTTTTAGGTTGGAAGATATAGTTAATTTAGAAAGTAAATTGGAGACCAAGAGAAAGAGAGAGAGAGAGAGAGACAGAAGATTTACCTCCCCAAAGTAGGGCAGGGTGCCAAAGCCAGGAAAACACGGCCCAGTCAAAACTCAACAAGAATAGGCTGGAGCTTAACAAAAGAAGGCCCCAGTTCTTATATATATACTTAATTAAACAGTTTGATGAAGCTTGAAGGGTTTTTTTCAGTCTGTTGTAGCTATCTCCTGCCTTCCTCGTTCAAATGCATTATTAGTTGATCAATTTTTCAGAGAAATCTGAGCAGTTGATCCACACACAAATCTGAAGACTTCAACATTTATTCACTTTACATTCTGAACTCCAAATCAAGGACAAAAATAATGTGGCCTTGGTAGTCGGGCAAGGGGACAGGATGAAAAAGCACTCACGTATTGAAAACAGAGAGGTGCTCTTGAAATTCTCGTTGTGAGGCGCGAGTGTCCCAAAGGCAGAGGATGCTTGGAGGAAGTGTTGGGGCACACAGTCACGTCTGGGTTCATTGCACAGGACGAGAGGAACCAGGTTCTGACCGCCTACTTGTGGGTCCGCCAAATCTGGCATGATGCATATCTCACGTGGGACCGAGACCAGTATGACGGGCTGGACTCCATCAGGATCCCCAGCGACCTGGTGTGGAGGCCGGACATTGTCCTGTACAACAAGTGAGTGCAAGTCAAAACGAGGCGTCTCAGCGTCTCAGGATGAACTTGGTAATTTGATAAGAGTGCAAACATCGCTGGGCTCGGTGGCTCAGCCTGTAATCCCACGCCTTGGGAGGCTGAGGTGAGTGGATTGCCTGAGCCCGCGGAT